CCCCTTCTTTTCCTCCTCCGCCTGCATTCAGCATTTCCCTTTTCGATGGACCAGCGAACGGCGGGAGAAATCCTGGAACTGACAGTAGGGGTTCACATTCCTCTAGAGCGTCCCAGACCGAGGAAAAGTAATGGGTCACCGTAATAAGAAGGGATGGGTAGGAGGGGCAATATGTCAGATGTGGCGCGACCGCACTTACCTTGTCCCCTCTACCCTTCCCTCCCCTCCCCCTAGAGCTCTGCATTGTCCCTGCAACACTGATGCCATCTTTGTGTTGTGTCATTCTGTCAGCAACACGCTTGTGTTTTCGTGCGCCTAGCTTGCAAGCGCTTTACGGCTTACAATGGGCGGGTGGCAATGATTTGCCATGAGTCAGAGTGAGGGGGCCGAACGGTCATTCGTTGTCCCTAGGTGTGTGGTTGAAGTGGGACTCCGCGGCGTGGATTCTGCTTGTGGTTGTTGTTGTTCTGGTTGTTGTTGTTGCTTCTGTTGCTGTTGTTGTTGTTGCTGTTGTTGTTGTTGTTGTTGTTGTTGTTGTTGTTGTTGTTGTTGTTGTTGTTGTTGTTGTTGTTGTTGTTCTTGATGTTGTTGTTGATCTTGTTGTTGTTGCTGCTGTTGTTGTTGCTGCTGCTGTTGCTGATGTTGTTGTTGTTGCTGGTGGTGCGTTGCGTTGCGTTGCGTCGTGTCGCGTCGCGCTGCGTTACGTCGCGTTGCCTTGTGTTGTGTTGTGTTGCGTGATTGTATTGTTGCTGTTGTTACTATGTTGCTGAATTTTCATTTCTGAAGAATAATTTTTCTTGATTCCCCCTCACCGGTGCACATTGTCTTTTCTCAATCAAAGTGTGCCTTTCGACGCTCGCACCCTGTTTTTGACAGGGAAAGTCTTCCTGCTCAAACTGGCCCCCTGGCCCCCGGGTTACAACAACAACGGCTCCCGCTTGAGACTTCCTTACAATTTAGCCAGGACCCTCGCTCCCGCCCGAGACTTCCTCGCATCTTATTCAGGAATCGCGCTCTCGCTTGGGAACTCTTCGCAATTTATTCAGGAATCGCTCTCCCGGCGCTCTGGAGTCGTGCGCTGGAGACTTGCTTGCAACTTACTGAAGAATTGCATAGGAATTTCCTCCAATTTGCCCAAGCGCCGCGCTCCCGACACCCAGGCACCCAGGAGTCGCGCCCGTTGTGGCCCCATGTGCATGCACTTCGTGGCCGCGCTGTCGCCATTTGTGTCCCCCTCACTGTCCTACGTGGCCCAGTTGCTACCCTCAGTGGCCTCATAGTTGCCTTCTGTGGCCCCGCATTATCTGCACTTCGTGGCCCCCGCTCGTTTGCGCTCTTCGTGGCCCCATACGCATTCCCTTCGTGTCCCCGCTGTCGCCCTTCGTGGCCTACTTCGTGCCCCTCGTGGCCCTGCTGTCGTTCTCTCTCGCTCTCGCTTTCGCTCGTCATCGTCGTCGCCGTCGTCGTCGTCGTCGTCGTCGTCGCCGTCGTCTTCGACGTCGTCGTCGTCGTCGTCGTCGTCGTCGTCGTCGTCGTCGTCGTCGTCGTGGTCGGTTCCCTGTCCGCCCCTCTTGGAGTCGGGTCGACGGTCCGCGGCCGCCCCGCCGATCAGCGCTGCCGCTGGCCAGGCCGACGGTCCGCGGCCGCCCCGCCGCTTGCCGGGGCCCGGCCTGCAGGGGAGAAAGGTATACCCCCCAAAAGGGGTTCGATCGAAAACGAAGAGGGCGGGTATCGAGGATTTGGGAAATACGCGTTATTGGACATTCGAGCATATAAGGGCGAACAGTCTTAAAATTATTGTTGTTGTTGCTGCTGGTGTTGCTGCTGGTGTTGTGACTTTTGTGATTGTTGTTGTTGTTGTTGTTGTTGTTGTTGTTGCTGTTCTTGTTGTTGTTGTTGCTGTTCTTGTTGTTGTTGTTGTTGTTGTTGTTGTTGTTGTTGTTGTTGTTGTTGTTGTTGTTGTGGTTGTTGTTGTTATTGTTGTTGTTGTTGTGGTTGTTGTTGAATATTATTCCTTCTAAAGAATTATTATTGTTGGGACCCCTGGTGCGCGACCTCTGCGCCGCGCCTAGGCCGCAGCCACATTTTCATCATTTTCGTGAGGAAGTCTCAGGCAAAACGATTGGTACCGGATCCGGTTTTTTGTTGACGCTCGTTTTCCCTTGCAAAAAACATTATAAAATGAAAATTCTGGTTCTTAGTTGATCAAATTTTCAAGAATCCCTTGCAAAAAATAAGGGAAAGTGGACATTCGTGCGCGCAAGACGAAATCCTTCCAAAACCTTAGGTTTCGTAACGATTTTAACATAAAAACATCAAAAACCCAATGGTTTTGTAAGAAAAAATTGTCAAAATGTCCTTCCGCGCGCTCTTGCGGATTCATAGGAAACACACTACTTTTTAAACATTTCTGTCAAAAGGGTCTTTGCGTGCTACTTCTTCAGGTGCTTTGAACTTCTCCAACAACGGTTGCGCGCCTGCGAGGGCCACCATCCCTTGCAAAAAATGAGACGAAGTGCACATGCGCGCGGCCGCCGCGCGCGCATGTCGAAATCCTGCCAAACACAATGGTTTATCAATAATTTCAAGATGCGATGTTCAGAAAACATATGAAAACGCACTACTTTCTCATCTGCAAAATCTCGAAATCCATTCGCGGTCTCTTGATGAATCTTTAAAACCCAAGATGGCCCCAACAGGCGCGCAAGATGGCCCCAAGAGGCGTCCATGAGGCCCAAAGAGGCGCCCAAGATGGTCCCAAGAGGCTTCAAGAGGACTCCAAGAGGCCCCCAAGAGGTTCCAGAGAGGCTCCAAGGTGGCTCCAAGAGACCCCCAAGATGGCCCCAGGAGGCGTTCTAGAGGCCCCAAGAGTCCGCCGTGAGGGTCCAATAAGCCCCCAGAGGCTCCAAGATGGTTCCAAGGAGCCCCCCAAAGGCTCTCAAGTGGACCCCAAACCGCGCCAGGAGGCTTCCCCCCCTCAAGAGGACCCCAAGCGGCCCCAGGAAGGCCCCCGACTGCTGACGCACATATCCGTGGCCATCTCGGATCAAGGTATCGCCTGTGTTCTTGGATCATGGCTTTGACGGCGAAAGACCTTCACGAGCAGTATGGCCCTGAGCTGTCGCGGCCTCCCTTGGCCGACTGCGACAGCCCGTATTATTTGCATCAGGCGCTCCAGGCAAAGGGTATCAATGCTAGTCACCAGGCGTGCAAGACTTGGTGGGCGAAGTATCGGGTTGTGACTGGCACGGTCAGTATTTCTAGCGCCAAGGAGCTGGAGGAGCAGCACGGCTCTGCCATCCGCCACCTGGGCATTGAGCATAATACCGCTTTCAAATTATGCCGGGCGCTCCGACAGTTGGATCCACCATTGTATGTGCCAGATAGGGTCGCAACGGCGTGGCTACTGCAGTATTCATCCAAAGACACGCTTGTCCAAGTGCAGAACGCTGGCCACTTGGAGACCTGGTATGGAGAACGTATTCGCAAAGACATGCCCGAGGGGACCACTGACGGGGCCGTCTTGAAGCAGTGGCTCCTGGGACATTTATCTGTATCTGCTAACGCCAGGGTATGCCAGAAGTGGCTCAGCACGGAGTGGGGCGCCAAGGGAGCATTGAATACTGCCCAAGCTATCTCTTCTTGCTGTCTTTCCTGTTACTGCGTTTTACCAGAGGGCAGGCTGGAGTACCTGTCGTATGCGATTACATTTTGGATCAGTGGAGCGTATTCGTGCACGACTTCGATGCTTTCTGTTTGGGACTCGTCCGTCACTGCGAGGCAGTATGCAAAGAAAAAGGGTGCTCGTATTTAGCCCATCGAGAAGGCTTGCATACTCAGTATTCCGGCTTGCACTTTATCCGTACACTTCGCAGGGTTCGTATACGACGGCGGCTTGTCGCATTTGCGGAGAAGTGGGCGCACTTAGCATCGGGGCTTCAGCGTCCCCGTGGCCATGGTATCCCCAGCGCGGACATCATGGCCATGGGGGACAGTATCCCGGACTACGTGGCCGTGGCCGTGCAGAAGAACAAGGTGAAGATGGCCGGTAAGTATAACAGCATGGACTGTATGAGGTGTTTTATGCACATGGTTGAGTATTGCATGGGCTTCACGCCTACGGAGTATACCGAGGAGCTGCATGAGTGGTTTCTGAAGCGGCAGTCTCGGAAGTGGGCACGCCATGCTGCTGCGGAGATCGCGTATTTTGGCGTGGTTTCCTGCGACACAATGACCACAGCATTGGGTCGTATGAGGAAGGCTCTCAACGGCACGTCTCAAGTGAGCGTCGCGACCATGTATGTATTGTTCTGCGAGACGCGGCAGGCTATCAACAGGTATTCGTTGCATGGTGTTTGGTATCTCATACACGCGTATGACAAGAGCAAGTCTGTGCGGGCAAATGTTTCGCGTGTCCGGCCTGGGCTAGTATCGACGCGTTGTCACACAATACAGCTTTTGGAGGCGATCCGCAGCTGTGTGGGAGTATCGCTTTCTGTGCTGCGGACCTCGGGAGGTGGCGTATCAGGCGGTGGACCTTGCGAGGTGGCGTATCAGCTCGGTCGGCGCCGTCTGTGTCCCAAGGTAGAATCTGATGGTATTCCTGAGCTCCGTGTGCTTAGGAGTTGTCTCAGCGTACTGACACAGAAGGTGCAGATGTATGCGAGGCAGCCTTGGCAGCAGTACCGCGGCTTGGTCAAGGCCGCCAAAGGTCTGGGTATCAAGTACGGGAAGTCGCATACGGTGAAGAAGCTCGCTCTGCTCGTGAAGCGAGGTATGCTGCAGCCTTCAGGCACCGGCGCGTGCAAACGGACGTACCGGGATCTGGTATCCGCAGCGCACGCTCGCGGCGCCAGCGAGTATCAAAGAATTAAAGTGCACGGAAGGTGGATCACCAGACGTGTATCCAAAGCCACGTTGGAAGCGCTGGTGGCTGAGCTCTAGGGGCGGTGCTCAGTTGTATAGGGCATTGTGGCAGACTTTGGGGTCACGCAGATGTG